GAAAAGTGCGCCATCCTACGCGCACTGTATTTCCACATCTCTGGCAGACTAAGGTTGTATGAGATACTTTCCTTGTCCTTCGTTGTCGATAGCGGTGTACGACAGGGCCGTCCTATGTTTCCGTCCCTCTTCAAATTTGCGATTGAAGATGTCCTGTGGAGAGCACTAGACGGTTACCAAAATTTCGGTCTACAGCTACTACCGGGTAAGCGACCGACCGACCTTGATTATGCCGATGATATCGCCTTACTTGGTGACTACTCACAGAGCACGCAGACCATTCTAGACCGTTTGGCGATTCAAATCAAGTCAAAGTTAGCCTTTACGCACTCGGGTAGGTGCATTTTCAGCATGTTACTCTAGGTACGGAATGTGCTTTGCCCCCTCAAAGTGTAAAGTGCTGCTTCGGGATTGGAACTCACGTTCCAGTGCTCACTCTTGAAGGTACACAGCTTGGACAAGTGGCTAACTGTTTACCTGGGCAGCTGATGGTACCGTTGGAAAGCAAGTTTCTCTTCGCATCGCCAAAGCTTGGTCGGCATTTGTCAATTTAAAACACTTAGGGCGTCGTCGGGATGTCTCTTGGTTAAGGCTCGTGTTTGCAATTCCACCGTTCGAGCGATGTTGCTATATGGGAGCGAGTTAAGGCCAGTACGTGTACACGACTTGCTTCGGCTCTCGCTTGAAGAGCATTACTCGTGTGTGGTGGCAACAACACATCTGCAACAGTGAATTCATGCGTCGTGTCTTAGGGAATGCAGCTATTCCCTTCAACAAGCTGGTTTTGTTCAGATTTTGTTCTGTTCTCCGAGCTGAACAGTTTCGTTGCAGACGTTTCATCACCAGTCGTGGTGACTTCCTCAGTGCGTTATAAGCAAACTGATTTGTGGGCGTTCAACGCTCCGGATTGCTCGCTGATGGAAGGATTTCACCTGCAAGCTTGCCTCGACTCGGCAGCAACTGACTTTTCTCCATGACTGCATGCGAAATGATGTTCTTCCTCGAAGTGTGAAGTAACTAGCAATGGTCACGGGACCTGAATCGAACTGAGCAGGTTCAAATGTCACTCGCTCGTCGGTAAGAATCGACAAAACAAATCAGTTTGCTTATAACGCACTGAGGAAGTCACCACGACTGGTGATGAAACGTCTGCAACGAAACTGTTCAGCTCGGAGAACAGAACAAAATCTGAACAGATCACCTGAGCTACAAGTATTCCGATTTATTGCTGACAATTATGGGCGTTCAACGCTCCGGGGGACAGCAACAACCATGGTAAATAAGTTACTAAATCTCATATAGCGCCGCTCACTATCCACTGACTTACACGTTACTGCCGTGCAGAGGACAGGGTAGCCCCCTCACCACGCGACGAGCTTACCAAACTTAAGCCGCCAATTAACTTATGTCATTATAAGCAGTTTGGTCTGCGTACTGAGTGAGTCTAAATAAGACGAATTTCTACCTATACCATTTAGCTCTCCCTACTACTCCTCTGTAAGTGAATTGATCAACTACTTTGAGTTCATCGCTATCTAGTATCAAGGAATCATCGTGGCTGGTGGGTTGCAACAATACATTGCACTTTGAAGATGCGAAGCGCATACTAAATCATGGGACGACTCTAGGCAGGCTATTCAGGGTTGATGGCGTCGCCCCAACATCGTTAAACAGCAAGGTGATATCGTCAGCATAATCAACATAAACTAGCCTTACATCAGGCAAGAGCTCAACGCAAGCATCGTGGGATTCCGCGAGGGGACATTCCATGATGGAGTCCGGGCTGACATTGAACGAAGTGAGAAAATTGGGCAACCCTGACGAATGCCACTTATTGTCGGAAAAGATATTCTACAGCTCGCCGTTGACCCTGACGCGGCCTGTAATTTTTGCGTACAGAGCACGTAAAATGTTCACGTATTTCAGGGGAACACCTTTCTGCTCAGGTATTTCGAACATAATCCATCGATCGACTGAATCGAAGGTACTCTTAAACTCGAGGAACACAGCTATTGTCGGTCTGCGGTATGCATGGTGCTGCTCTAGCACCTGCGTCAGAGTGGATATGTGGTCTATATAGCCCCGTCCAGGGCGGAAACCTGCCTGCTCTTGCCTACTAGGGGATTGCCGTTCCGCGTTGAGGCGACGAACGTGAATTGAGGCCAGAATTTTTGTCACAACAGGCGTTAGGCTAACACATTTGTCTGTGCGACTGCCCTTCTTGTATATTGCCACCATATCTGATTCACTCCAATTAGCCGGGACACTTTTTCCAGATATGTTCGATTAGAGAGGTCAGTGCCTTTCAAAGGACCTCACCTACAAAAAGAACCGAAAACCTCATTTACATCCTTAAATAGTGCAGGTGGGAGGGAATCCAGGCCAGCAGCACGAAAACGATTGAGGGTGGAGATCGTGTTTCGGACCTTAGCCTCCGATGGAGCCTCTAAAATAATTGTCCATGACTCCTGCAACCCCTGAGTAGAAAAAGGTCTGGAAGCGAGGGGCCAGTTGAACTGATCTTGAAGTGTTCCACCCAACGAGTCAGACCGCGCTCCTTATTGTGAATCTGTGCACGCGCGCTGTCTCTGATTATCTCACTGACGCCTGGTTTCTTGGGACCATTGGTGCGGATCAGCTGGAAAAGCTTGCAATAGTCCCCCTACTGCTCCCGCCTCTTTCATTTATTGATCCCGACTGGTCCACCAGGCTTGCTTGTCAGTACGTAGGCTCCGCTTTAGTTCGCGCCTGATTCTCCGTCTGGTCACATTGTGCTTAGGGTCAGCCTGGAGAGTTCTCCTGGATTCCAACAGGTTCACGGACCTCTCGGATATCCAGTGACTGGTGCGGTGACGATTGATAGTGTCACAAGCAGATGCTCCTACGTTGTGCCTGACGGCCGAGATCCTATTCCACTGAAGCTCGGTGTCATTCGGACAAAACAGCGAAAGTTCGGTACCTAATACGTTTTTATAGGCTTTCCTGACCGAAGGCTGAGACAATTTCTCAGTTGTCAGTCGGGGGTGAAGCTTGGTGTGCTTCCCGGTAAAGTTCATGGAGAAACGACTGCATACCAAGTTATGAGCAGAGTGGACGCAAGTACTCCAGAACTAGCGGCAATCCAGGATGGAACCACACCACATGTGACTTATGGCAAGGTGGTCAATTTGGGTCTATCGCTGGCCAGCTCCAGGAGGATGCCACTGTGATGCCCACTGTGACCAAAGGCGGTGCTAGCAAGAAACAGCTGGTGCTCCGCACACAGTTACGACACGCTCGTGGTTGTTAGTCCGTTCATAGTTATGCCCATAATTACCACCTAGCTGAGCTTCTGAAGAGCTCAGACGAACTACTCGTGTATTCATATCCCCTACAAGTACCATGATATCTGAACTGGTAGCACTTACTCAAATTAATTTACTCGTCAGCTGTACGCCGTAACGGCGCTACTCTGCCGCGCTACCACCACTAGTCGCGCGTGGGCTGAATATACCGTGCCCCTACGCGGACTCGAGCCGACCACCTTATGATTGGGAGCCAAGTGTGCAGACCACTCGACTACCGGTCTTAGTAAAATGTGTCCTTCGCGGCATCAGAACTCCAGTCGGAAATCGCAAACAAACAGCGTCTTGTACTACTTCGTGAATTAACCGGCTGTTCACCGGAATCCAGTCAACCAACGATGACTCAGCCTTGGAGCTGAGTACATTTCCTACCCCAATTTGACCAGAGTCTGCCGCATCAATGTCTCCGGATGCGTGTAACCAACAGCGAGAGGACAAGCAGGGTGCACTTGGTTCAACCACCCCGTGAAAGTCACTGGTCATAGTTTCGGATACGCAACACGTGTCAATACCCAATGTGTCCAAGGTGCATGCGAGTACAGCCTGTTGACCTACTTGTCTTAGAATGCGAACATTGAACGCCGCCAGGGAAACGGGACAGCGTGGCTTTATAACGGACTGTTGGCGAAAGGCGCTCAGTGGGTGCTGCAGGAAGGTAGCCGCAGATGGTTCGACTCCAGTGGCGTTGCGGCTGTTGTCAATTAGGCTGGGAACTATAGAAGGGAAGATACTAATGGAGATTGGGAGGGGAGTAAGAGAAAGAGGTGGAAATAAAAGAACGGAAGCGCCAGCAGTAGCATCTTTTCGTTTATCCGTCCTACTGTTTGCTGCAGATAAAGCGACCGTTCATAATTTGCCTGGCGGCCGATGCATAATGTTGTTGTGAATGTGTAAGGGAATATTTGTGCTTGTATGTGCGCTGAGATACAGCCAAAACGCCGAAACTTAGATGGAATAACGCTTATGGTCTTCAACCAAAGCCTTAGGTTCAAAAGCCTATCCGCAAGGCAGCGGGGAGTTGGCAGTGATTTAGTTTTAGAGCAATGACGCCACTCCATTCACCATCCCCGAACTTGAGGATCAGGAAACTGCCGCGAGAACGCACGCCCCTGCGCGAATTCGATCCGGCGACCTTATGATTGTAAGCCAGACTTGTAGACCACTCGCCCACCGGCAGACTATCTGCGGGGTACTGGCTGATTATGACGCGAGACAGTGAAAGCCGCAAGGAAGCTGTCTCGCCGATACCACACTATCTTTGCCCTGTAGCCAGCTATTTGTAACTGTGTACTGCCGCTTTGACTTTAAATGTCTGCTAGTTCCTCTTTCTGTCCCACTTATTGTTTTTCGTTCCGTATGTCATTGTGGTTGTACAGCAGTAAGGCGTCAGTTCAGATAGCGGATCTACTGCTTTTGATATTCTGTCGACGTGGATCGTAGCAACTGAGTCCGCCTCACTTCGGTGTCCGGATCATTTCGCGCATGGAGAAAATTAGTTCTTGACATCACTAGAATATATTCATTTATTTATCTGTGGACGTATGCTTCTTGAGTACCAGTGATGGTCCATGCTGTTTCACAACTCTATTTTTGGACCCATTGCATGCAATTACGTGTGACATATTTTCACGTATTTTGTTTGGTTGCACTTTTCAGGAAAGATTCTGATGAAGCGGATCTAGTCCCTGCGCGTGAGGCAAATATAAAGTGCCCCCAAGTAGTCATCCGCTTCTACGAGGAAAGATTGACTTGGCACACGCCCGAAAGTCGTCCCTCTGGTGGGACACCACGTCCTGGTGCTACGACACCTAGCTCAGCGTCTGGGGCTGCTCGAACCTGAACCCCCGATCATGGATAACGCATCTATTCGCATTTAATAAACTTATCGTCAACTTATTCTGAATACTACATTTTGAATTGCTGTAAAAATAACATTCTGAACTTTCATTTCATACAGATATACTCGTTCAGCTACATAAACCTTTGTTACCAAGCGCCCTAAATTCGTTGTGTACAAGCTTTCTTCAGGTGAGCTCTGTCGAGAAAACCATCCGAGAGATTCAACGAAGACTGAACAACAATACGTAGATACGTTATTAGGGAACAAAGGGACATTTTATGCAGTACACAGGTTTGAATATCTACTTTAACGCACTTTCATTGGCTGATTCTTGCTAGCCATCTGCCTGAGTTCATTGTCGCACCCTCGTCGTTTGTTCACAACTGCAACGAAGTTGTGCTTCATTCGCAGTGCCCCAACCCAATTATGGGCTGCTCATCTGGTCCTTGCGAATGTAAATAGTTTATTCCCGAAGTGCACGAGACATGTTTAACCAGGTATGACCAAGTAATCGCAGAATTTTTTGTATGCGGATAAAATGTTGCACATTTATCTACTGGTCAGATGATATACTGATAAGTCAAATCATGCAAGTCCTTTATGCACCCAGAACCGGTGAATATTCAATCACAATCCGCTTTCAGAACTAAGTGACAGTGTCATTTTATTCGTCTCTTTTTGGAGCCATCGATCCTCGCTAAGACTGGTAGGGCTCAACAAGCGCACTTTATTGCTGGTTGGCCAACAGGCAGCACTTGCCCTAACATCAGCGACCTTATCGATCGATATTTGCTGCTTATCGGAAACGCACCTTCTAGGTCCGAGATGTGTGCTCACTCTGCGATTCCCCACAAGCGACCCTTTCTCATTGCATTTGTCTGTAGATGATGCAGGTTCAAATATTTGTCCATCCAGTGTGGGCTGAAACTGCCCTGCTTGACTGGATCCCAATGTACAGACGGGTGTACGCCATCAGATTGGATCGTTCAGAGCTTCGAAGTCGCGCGTAGACAAATGCTACCTGTGTGTCATTACGGCCTACGCGCCCACAAACTGTGACGCTGACTCGGTCAAAGATAATTTATACATAGATAAGTAATAAACTTTTATTCTCGACAATGCGAGGCGCATTTTTACAGGTATCATCATGTTAAGCTAACATAAATTCATTCCATCTTATTACGTTTGTTCTGCCTACCTGAATAGTCTTCTATTAACTTGCACACGATGCTTACGCTAATTGTGCTTATCTTAATTAACTTTATTACGTTTGTGGCAATTTTTGGAGAACTTGTGGACATTTTGTAGTTATCGCGGTTTCATTGCTAACTAACTTATTTCATATGCTAACTTAGCGAAGTGTTATGTCTGCATAGCCGTCTGCTTTAACAGACATTTTATTCTTGCTTATGTTAATTCAAGTGATTGGCTGTTATTTGACATCCCCGGTTTGGCTGCGCTTGATGTGCATGTTGACAAGGTGCCTACCTGTCTATTACCCACTACCTCGTCCATACTGGCTCCAGGAGACAGTTAGTCGTTGCTCGAAGGGACGGGGTGCACGGTCCTTGTGGCCGTGCTAGGCTCAAAGAGTGATTCCATGCACTCAGTGTGGAGCGGACCACGGTCCAGCCACCGTCTTGTGTGGGATTGATTCCCAAATCCAGCGTGCTTGTGTTTGCCTGTGAAAGAGTGTGGGCCGGCTCCGTTGATGGAACGTGGCTCCCATCCACATGCCTCCCGGTCTTATTCCTTCGGGTTTACACTGGATATGGGGTGTGTGGTTGGAGCTGTGGGTGGTGCAACGCAATCCACCCATTGTCCCTCTGTAGACGCAGGCGTCCTGTGGCTGGTCACAGTGACAGGCAAATCCGAAACCGGATGCTGCCAACCATTCGTGTATGGATGTAGCTTGTGTTTGTGAATGTGCCGCAGCATTTTTGACTGTTTGTATTCTTCAGGAATGTGAGAATAAGTGATTTATCATCAACAGAACGATATCCTTCTTTACGGAAAAGGTACGTATACTATGGTGCTGGCTGGTGATCTGAACGCCCAAGTTGGAGTACTGTCACTGATGAGCTGCATTTGGGTGGCTAACACAGTGTAAGCTTCCGTAATGATGACGATGAGCGGTTGCCAAACCGGTGTGAAGATACGTCTATTTCGCAAGCACTGACTTCTGACACAGCACCCACCGGAAAGTAACATGACGCTCACCAACCATGGACGTAAGTCGATCACATCGCGATCATTTATCGCTGGAGAGTTTGTGTCCAAAACTGCCGTTCGCTTTGGAGCACGAGTGTGGACTCTAACCACTCACTCGTCTGTGTCGATCTTACATTTCACTTCGGTGGGCGCATGCCGCGACGCTGTGAGCGCATAGATACTTGCCAGCTGACGAAGCCAGATTTTCTACATGTGGATCACAACACGCTGACGCCCAAACTGAGTAACGCTCTCTGCACACAGTGGAGGACTACTGGTCGCATATCCACCAGACTTTATTAGCAGTAGGCATGTCTTCATGTGGCAAATCAAATTGCCAACCTAGACATTGAGTCTCTATGTAGCCTCTGGAACTTTTGGATGCTCGTTTACACATTACGGTTGGGAGAGAACACTACGAACCTGTCTGAAGACAGACCGCGAAGCCTGTTGGTCTCACCGCTTATCTAAGATGAAGATGGCCGCCGTCCTTTGTGACCATCGGAAGTTATTCCGCCTGACCGGGCAGAATGAGACCTAGTGGTGGCGTGACTACGTGACGAGGGTTGACAGACGATCTACAATCTGGCAAAGCGCTTAGAGCGTTCGGCTGAACAGTTTGAGAAGCAGTCTAATCAATCAGAGTTGTCCTCTCCATCGACCATTGATCGCCCGCACCCTTGGGTGCGTTCTCACGTGCAGAAGTCGAATGAGAGCTTAGACTTGGAATTGATTAAGGCCATGAGCTCAGATAGATTTCCTCCAGCCTTCTTCAAATTTGGGGACCTGCCCTTGTGTTTGATCTTCACAACTGACTTGTGAAACTGTGGGAGCGGGACTGCCTCATCAGCCTGGAGGGTTCACGTTCCGAATGCGGCAATCATAAACGTATCAGTCTGATCTCAGTTGTTTTTAACATATGCGGCTTTGTCATTCTTCATAGGCCGATTGGCACACGTGAAAGCCAGGTTCGTAAGAAACAAGCCGGGCTTCGCCAAAGTCGCAGGTGCATCTTTCCGTCAGTTGTTGGGACCGCCATATTTATTGGCGGCCCACCGTATTCGTGTTGCTCAACATCAAAGGTGCCTTTGATTCGGTGGGTCGATGTGCCCTGTGGGACTGTCTCCTCAGGAAATGTGGATGAAAAATATGTAAGCATTATCAGAGCGCTTTACGCGCGCACTTCAGGTAGAGAAAGCTGTCGCCGCACTTCAATCACTTCAGTGGGGTGAGACAATGATGCCCGCTGTCAAATTTCCATTTTAATTTCTTCATCGACGAAGTTATGGAAACTGTGTTTACTGGACATAACTGGAAGGTATGGAGTTGCTCTTAGGTGACTGACTTCTAGACTTGGAGTACCTCGACGATATTGTCCTTACCTGTGATATCTAAACGTAGCAAGCAGCACTGGATAACTTTTTTCTGGCTGTCAATCGTTTCAGGCTGTTTTGCACCCTCTAAACGCAAAGTTTCACTAAAATTGGCAGGCACCTACCCCTTGGTGATTACCAGCTAGAAGTCGTCCATAAATTGAAATGTCTAGGTATTATAACGTCTGACTGCAACACAACCCACTCCGAACGGGAAGCATGAACACATCACGCTGGGACGAGCTGTATTGAAAAACGGGCATACCTGTGCCACCGCAATGCACAAGGATCAGTAGATCAATCAGCCAACCACACAAAAGGACATAGTCATGAGTGGCACGCGGTCTGAGAGATTGTCGTGCGTGCGTCCAACACAATCACGTGACAGGATAGTCACGAATGTCAAACGATCTAGCTGTGAACGACTGACAAGCATGAGCCTAACCATCTTTAAACCGAAACTGCATAGCACGTTGTGTTTGATTCGTATGCTTCACGTCTTGGGTTAGTCACGAGTCTCTGCACTTGGGCTCTGATTCGCGTTGAGTATCCTCGATCTGTTGTCACATTTTCTGTTTGGACGACGATCTTCCGACGGGGTAATTTGATACGTACCCAGGAAAATGTCCAACGATAGTGAAGCTTCTTGTTTTTGGGGTGTCCCTTGCACTTCAAAGCTGGGTCTAAAATGGTTTACCTGTCTGTACAAAACACTTGAAACCCGTTCTAGGACACGGTCAGGAATCCAGGATGATCTTCCGTCACGAACATTCCTTTTGTACACGCCATCACCAGGCACGAAATGCCAGGGAGGAGTGCTCCATGATGGCGATTAAAAACCAACTCCATTTAAACATTACGCTCTCTTGTGTAGCGATGGCTTCAAAGCATCGGACAGTCCTAACATGCCTGCCGAGAAACGCTTCGGATGGAGACACGTTTTGAAGTACTGCTGGACCTGGCGTCGTACGGTAAATCTGCAAAAATTTCTATGATTTCCTGGATATTCCCCTCTCTTTCCATTTTAATCAATGCTCGCTTAAACGTATCGACAAAGCGTCCAATCCGTCCGTTTGACTGTGGGTGGTACGCCTTAGTGCGTATCTGTTCGATGCCATGTGAGTTGCAAATGTCGGCAAATTATTGAGAAGTGAATTGGGAACCATCGTCCGAAACAATCGTTTCGGAGACACCGAATTCTGAGATAAGGTGGTGTAGGTGTAACAAAACAGTGGAAGTGGTCGCGTATCACATTTGAAAAATTTCGGGCCACTTTGAGTAAGGACCGAGTAGCTTGAGTATGTGAGGTCTTTGATTGCGCATGAGGACTGAATGACTCATCTGGGTTTGCTTGGTGACCGGTGCTCATCAAATGTCTCGTAATTGATGGGGCAAGTTTGCATCTCAATTCACCGGATACAATCGTCATATGTTTTATACGTGTTCATTGATTCGAACACCCAGATTTCCATCAGTGCGCTCAACATAACTGTCACACAGCTACGCGTGAATTTGCGTAAGCAATAGGACATGCACTGCTTCGAAACAAGTGTCCTTACTGAACATTTAAGCTGGAGT